TGATGCACAATTTGACAAATTTTTGCAATGTTTTCTTCAGTTCTGCTCATTACTGGCCACTCTGACATCTCAATCAATGATGCTTTCTCTTCCCTCAGAAAAACATTTAATCCATTTGTATACTGCTATTTTCTTCATGGCATTATTCCCACACACTTGGACTAAGGTGTGCCTGATTTCACTTCCACTCTTGCCAAGTTTAACAAGAAATTTACAAATGTTTGTTCCTTAATCCAATTCAAATTCCAATACTCTCCCAATGGCACACAAAAACGTGTAGCAATAATAATTAATGCCACTCAGCAAGACACCACCAGTCAATATACCCAGCCTGATATACCAAGGTTATGAATCCTTATTGTCTGTACAGTGTTACCAACATAAGCACATGGTAACAAGTTCATAAACTTAATTGTCAGATCTCATGCAACAGTAAAGTGTTTCCCTGAGTTTTTAAAGGGGTTCTAGCAAATTACTGAACATGAGGAGGGGGTTATAGGTACTCTCAATTTATAGCCATTTGGTAACCTGAAGCTTGTGACTACCAGTCTTCTGAAACTGAGTGTTTAACTTGTGGGGTCTGCCTGCCCTAACTCTTTGTTACAGTCAGAATTAAACTGAATTGTAAGATAGCAGTTGGTATCTGAAGAGTTAAAGAACTGATTGGTACCAGGGAGAAAAACTCCACATACTTGGTGTGAGACATTCTAAGTAAAAATAGTTTAGACTTAGAATAAAGTTTTCCAGGTTTGGCTCAGCGCCTGTGGCTCAAGCGGCTAAGGCGCCAGCCACATACACCTAAGGTGGCGGGTTTGAATCCCCAGCCCGGGCTTGCCAAACAATAATGGCTGCAACCAAAAAATGGCCAGGCGCTGTGGTGGGCGCCTGTAGTCCCAGCTACTTGGGAGACTGAGGCAGGAGACTCGCTTGAGCCCAGGAGTTGGAGGTTGCTGTGAGCATGATGCCATGGCACTCTACCCAGGGGGATAGCTTGAAGCTCCATCTCAAAAAAAAAAAAAAAAAAAAAAAGTTTTCCAGGTTTATCCATTCTTATGTGCTGAATTGCGTCCCCCCAAAATATGTCTAAGTACTAGCCTCCAGTAGTTATGAATGTGACTTTGTTTGGAAATTGTGTTTTAAAAGATGATATAGTTAATTTGAGGTCATTAGTGTGGGCCCTCATTCAATGATTGTATCCTTATAAAAAGGGGAAATTTGGCCTGTAATTCCAGCACTTTGGAAAGTCAAGGAGGCTACTTGAGGCCAGGAGTTCAACAGTAGCCCAGCAACATAGCAAACCCCCGGCTCGGCGCCTATAGCTCAACCGGCTAAGGTGCCAGCCACCTACACCTAAGGTGGTGGGTTCGAATCCCCAGCCCGGACCCGCCAAACAACAATGATGGCTGCAACCAAAAAATAGCCGGGCGTTGTGGCGGGCGCCTGTAGTCCCAGCTACTTGGGAGACGGAGGCAGGAGACTCGCTTGAGCCCAGGAGTTGGAGGTTGCTGTGAGCTGTAATGCCACGGCACTCTACCCAGGGGGACAGCTTGAGGCTCTGTCTCCAAAAAAAACATAGCAAACCCCCTTTTTTACAAAATAGGTAAAAAACTAGCCAGATATGATGGAACATGTCTGTAGTCTCAGCTACTTGGGAAGCTTAGGTGGAAGGATTGTCTGAGCCCAGACATTCAAAGTTGTGGTGAGCTATGATGACATTACTGCATTGTAGCCTGGGAAACAAAGCAAAATCCTGTCTCTTAAAAAAAAAAAAGAGGTGCAGGAGATTTGGACATAAAGACAGAAATGCATATAGGGAAGACACATAGAGACCACCTACTAGTCAAAGAATCCCTGAAGCTACAAGGAGCTAGGAGAGAGGCACAGAAAACATTCATGTCATAGCCATCAGAAGGAGCCTACCCTGCCAATATCTTGATTTCAGACTTATAGCCTCCAGAACAATGAACTGACAATACACTCCTATTGTTATCAGTACTTCATTCCAAAAAGTATCCACTGAATATGTGCATTGTTTTCACCTTTTGGCTAGTATGAACAATGCAATAAACACTTATGTCTATGTTTCTGTGCAGACATACTATTTTTTTTTGATACAGAATCTTTGTCACCCTTAGTAGAATGCCATGGTGTCACAGCTCACCAAACTCTTGAGCTCAGGCAATCCACCTGCCTCAGGCTCCCAGCAAGTATAAGGTATAAGCCACAGCTCTCAGCCTTTAATTTCTCCTGGGTATACATCTAAGAATGCAATTACTAGGTCATATGGCAACTCTAGTTTGACTTTCTGAGGAAAAACTGTTTTCCAAAAATGACTGCACCATTTTACATTTCCACCAGAACGTGTGGGGGTTCCAACTTCACATGCTGGTCAACACTTTTCTGTCCTATTGATTACAGACATTCTAGGGAGTGTGAAGCGGTATTTCACTGTGGCTTTCATTTGTATTTCCCTAATGATTAATAATGCTTTTTTATAATGTGTTTACTACCTTGTATATCTTCTTTGAAGAAATGTCTATTCAAATCTTTTGTCCGGTTCTGAATAGGCAAGTTGTCTTTTTACTGAGTTCTTTATATATTTTGCATCTTAGACCCTTATTTGAGACAGAGTCTCACTGTTGCCCTGGGTAAAGTGCCACTGTATCATCATAGCTCAAAGCAACCTCAAACTCCTGGCCTTAAGAGATCCTCCTGCCTCAGTCTCCTGAGTAGCTGGGACTACAGGCATCTGCCATGATGCCTGGCTAGTTTTTCTATTTTTAGTAGAGACAGGGGTCTCACTCTCGCTCAGGCTGATCTCAAACTCCTGAGCTCAAGCAGTCCACCTGCCTCAGTCTCCCAAAGTGCTAGCATTATAGGCATGAGCAACCATGCCCATCCGAAATTTTAAATTTCTATGAAGTAGAATTTATCTATTTTTAAACATCTTGTATATTAGTTTTATAACATTTCTGTATACCTAAAATTGTTTCAAAGTTAAAAAGTTAGTACATATAGTAAAAAATTTAGAAAACTACACAAACTACCAAAAAGAATAATAATAGATTTTTTTCTTTTTTTTGAGACAGAGTCTCAAGATGTCATGCCCTCGGTAGAGTGCCATGGCATCACAGCTCATAGCAACTTCAAACTCTTAGCCTTAAGTGATTCTCTTGCCTCAGCCTCCCAATTAGCTGGGAATACAGGCACCTGCCACAACGCCTGGCTATTTTTTTTTGTTGTTGCTGTTGTTGTCATTGTTGTTTGACAGGCCTGGGCTGGGTTCAAACCTGCCAGCTCCAGTGTATGTGGCTGGTGCCCTAGCTGCTGAGCTATAGGCACCGAGCCTGATTTTTTCATTTTCTATCCTATAATTCCATTTTTTTCTAAATTACACAAATGATGAAAATTTCCTGCAGAAATTTTAGAAATTAATACAATCAGTAAACCTACCATCCAAAGATAACCATCATTATCACTGGGGTTTATATTCTTACTCAAACATATAAACATATACAAAAATCTAGGATCACCCTATGGGAAGGGATGGCCATATAAACAATGCGGGGAGGTGGATGACCCATGGACTAACAGGAATTTGTGTTATAAAGATAGGAAACCAAGGGATGGTGCCTGACTTAGGCTGTTTATGAAGTGATGCTTTAGCTGGCTTTTGTATGTAACTGGATGCTCTGCTTTGGGTGGAGGTGGGGGGTGCAGAGGGGAGCTTTCCAACTGAAGGCAGCCAAGAGTAAAAGAATATAGATGCATCCCTAGATGGGCTGGAGATTAGGGAAAAAGAGGTAAGGATGGAGGATATTGGTTTTTTAAAGGCCTTCCATGATACTGAACATAACCCTGTAGGCCACAGGTTTCCTTGAAGAGTTCTAAGCAAAGACGCAGCATAGCAAGATTTACATTTCAGAGAGAGTTCCCAAAGTTGTGTGGAGAGCAGACTGGGGGAATGGGAGAATGGAAGCCAGGGACACGGCTGGGAAATCATCACACTCTCTGTAGTACATTTTATATCATGCCTCGATACACACATAGAGGTGACCTTGTGTCCTGGATGGCCAGAGACAATCTCAGATTAAATCTCTGGTCCCAGAGCAATATCAGCACCGTCTTTCATGTGTGGAGAATAAAGACCATCTACGAACACACAACAGCAAAGCTTCTGCAATTTTTACCTATGTATGTAAAATGACTGATTTTTTTCTATTTCATTTTTTTAATGTTGGTTGCAACCCATTAAACTAATTTCAAGACGCATAAATTTGTTCATAACCCATTTTGAAAAACTGACCTAGACACCGACCAGGTCGTGGGAGGAGACAGAATTAAGCCTGGGATACTACAGTTTAAAGCCGTGGTTCTTAACCTTGGCAATACGTCGAAATCACAGGAAGTACTACTAAACATGCAGACCTCCATACTATCACTGGTTGTGTGTGTGTACGTACATCTAAGTGGAAACAGCTGTAACACGTCTGATCATAACGCATAGAAGGATGTATACTTACAGAATTGAAAAACCACTACTCTCATGAGTTATGTGACAGCCTGGGAAGGTGCCCAGGAGGTGGGGACAGGGAGTATTGCGTGTGGCACCCTGCTGGTGCTCAGCGCGTCACTGTGCAACCAACCAGCCCTTCGTCTCCGCGGGCCTCTTCAGGCCCTAGTCAACAACAGGCCAAAGCCACAGAACCAGGTGCCGGCGACCAGCGTAACCGACCCAAGGCAGGACAGCTGGAGGCCCCTCTCGGCCACGTCCGCTAAGACAACGGCCCCACAGTGCCCCGCGGCACGCACGCGCAGGCGACGGTTCCCGGCGTGCAGCGCGGCGGCAGCCGACCGGCTCCGGGCCGCCTCAGGCAGCCCTGGCCGGGCTGTCCGGGTCCCCAGCAACGGGGGTTGGATGGCGCTGAAGCGGATCCAGAAGGTAGGCACTCTCCCACCCTCCAGTGCTTTGGAAGTTCGAAGTGTCGAAGCGCAGACGGCAGACGTGAACGGTGCCTACAGTGCCGGGGATACACCTCTTTGGAAGAGTAGTGGAACCGCCGAAGGCGCAGCCTGAGGAGGAAACTGTACGAGCGCTGGGCGGGGCCTAGGTCACGTGGAGCGCGTCACGTGGGCGGGGTCATGTTGAGCCACCTGCTGGCTCCTAGGTGGCTAGTGGGGTTTGCTGCCTTCCTGGAGGAAGACTGGTCTTTCTTGTCGGGGATCCAGGAGGGGTTGAGGATGGAGCTGAGTCTTAAGGGATGAACAGAAATTTGGAGGTAGAGAAAATGGGAAAGGGTCTGCCTGACAATGGGGAGACCTCGAGGCTCAGCTTGGCGGCCACTGGGTGCGGGATGCAGTACGCAGTACCACTATCGCCCTTGGGGACAACTGGTCTTCATCCTCCAGGTAACAGGGAGTCTACGGAGGCTAAATTTATTAACTAGAATTTGGAAAATGCAAAACACCAGGAGAAAGAAAAAGTATTTTAATTCTACCACCTCACTGTTAACATTTAGGTATACCTACTATCAGTCTTTTTCCCATATTTAAAAAAATTATACCGTGTATTATATCCCACATTTTCACATAGCCTTAAACGTAAGCATTTTCTATGTTGCAAATAGTATTTATAACTAACATTCCAGAAGTACATAATTGATAGAACTTATTTAGTCATTATGTGTCATGGGTAAAAGCATGGACTTTGGTGTCAGACCTGGGCTAGTCTAGAATGCAAGGGTGCTTACAGCGGGACTTCAGGCTGGCCACTCAATCCTTCCTAGCCTCCCTGTCATACTTGTTTACAGAGTTGTTTGAAAATTAAATGAGGGTGATACTGGATTTTTGACTTTGGATTTCCAGGCTCTTGGTCTCAATGATTCGATGAATGAATCGATGGACCACAGGATGGACAGTAAGTTAGGTTTTATTTATAGAGGTATTATTACAGCTCTTACAAAGAGGCAAACCTTGTAGAACAGGATAAGATAGGTTTTATGTAAGTGTCACAGCTCTTGCAAAGAGCCAAACCTCCTTGCAGGGCAGGATGTAAGTGTCACAGCACTTACAAAGAGCCAAACCACCTTGCAGAGCAGGGTATAAGTGTTACAGCTCTTACAAAGAGCTAAACCTCTTTGCAGAGCAGGGTATAAGTGTTACAGCTCTTACAAAGAGCCAAACCTCCTTGCAGAGCAGGGTATAAGTGTTACAGCTCTTACAAAGAGCCAAACTTCCTTGCAGAGCAGGATATAAGTGTTATAGCTCTTCCTCTTCTGCTCTCTCCCTCTCAACGGTCTGTGATGATCTACTGAAGTCTTGCTCTTCTGCTTTATCTTCCTTGAGGATCGTGATGATCTGCCCCTAGGCTCTCTGCTCAGAGGTTTATATAGGGGCAGTTATCCAATGAGCTGAGAGCTTAGCTGATTGGTCTATAAAATAGACCAGTCAGGAGCAGGATTGAAAATGGACCAATCAGGAATGCACTGGAGGAATTGCCAATGTTTTTCCCTGATCTGCCGGTCTTTTTTGTTCAGGAACCTGCAGTGGGAGAGGAAAGCTTCCCCTTTGGCTCCAGCCTGCTGGTTTCCGTGCCAGCTGCTGCCAAGGCAGAGCCAGCAGGTCCTCTAGCACCGCTCTACTGCAGCCTCTGGTGGGGGAGGGAAGCTCCCCACCACTTGCTCCAACCTGCCGGTTCCTCTGCCAGCTGCTGCCACCAAGACAGAGGTGGCAGGTCCCCAAGCCCCACTTGGCTGAGCTGGCTGGGGCACCACTTTTCCGGTATCATTGGGACTGCAAACTAATACAGCCTGTTTGGGAAGGAGTATGGAGAATCCTCCAAGAACTCAAATTAGAGCTCGCATATGAACCTGCAATTCCATTACTAGGTAATCTACCCAGAAGAAAAAAAATCATTTTATCATAAGGAAATTTACACAAGGTTGTTTATCACAGCTCAATTTACAGTTGCCAAGATGTGGAAACAACCTAAATGCCCCTCAACTCAGGAATGGATTAACAGACCGTGGTATGTATATAACATGGAGTACTATTCAGCCATTTAAAAAGATGGAGACTTTACATCTTTTGTATTAACCTGGAGGAAGTTGAAACATCTTCTTCTTCTTAGAAAAGCAAATATCCAATGTACTCAATGCTAATGTGAAATCAGTGAATGATCTAATACACACCCAAGTAAGAAAAACTTATTTCAATTTAAACTGGTGTGGTGGGGAGAGGAGGCAGGCGAGGGAGTTGGGTGTGCTGTCACTTAATGTGCATAATGTAAGGGTATATGGCATACCTCTTGGGTACAGGACACAACTGTAAGAGGGACCTTAACAAATGCAAACATTGTAACCTAGTTTGTACCAGCACAATAACCTGCAATTTAAAAAAAATTAAATGAAGTGATACTGTTTACCACATGCCTGGCATATACCAAGCAGTGGATCTGAGTTAACTGCCATTATTATTGCAAATTCTTCATCAAGTATTTACTGTGATGAACGTTATTGTGTGATGAGCCCTTTTCCTTAACGCAGATTGCCAGAGGTGGAATTATAGGATCTCTCTTAGTATTACTCATTTTTTATAAATAAGTATCCAAAAGATAGGTAATTTTTTTTTTTTTTTTTTTTTGAAACAGAGCCTCAAGCTGTCCCCCTGGGTAGAGTGCCATGGCATTACAGCTCACAGCAACCTCCAACTCCTGGGCTCAAGCGAGTCTCCTGCCTCCACCTCCCAAGTAGCCGGGACCACAGGCGCCCGCCACAACGCCCGGCTGTTTTTTGGTTGCAGCCGTCGTTGTTTGGCGGGTCCGGGCTGGGGATTCAAACCCGCCACCTTAGATGTACGTGGCTGGCGCCTTAGCTGGTTGAGCTATAGGCGCCAAGCCAAGATAGGTAATTTTGAGAAATTATTCTCTAAACAGGGTCATCTCTCATCCTGGGACTTTGAAGCAGGTGAATGAGATTCTGAGATTTGTGTTATTAAAATATCCTTCTGACCAGATGGGAAAGAGTAAGAGTAAAGGTATTGTGGAAGTCCAACAAAGGCTTTGCCCAAATTAATGACCATGAAATGGCTGCTGGGCCAGAGCAGTGCTTGGGCCACATGACAGAGGTGGAGTTGACAGGACTTACAGAGAGGATGTGATGAAAATTAGACAAGGAGGTTCACAAGATGGAATGCTAGGTAGATGATGGTGTCATTGACTAGGATGGGGAGTTAGGAGTTTTGAAGGCAGGAAGCTGAGTAGGGAAATAAGGGGTATAGGTTTGAAGTGGCATGTGCAGGCTGGTACGATTTATAAAAGGGAGGACTTGGAAAACCAAGTTTGGATCTTGAAGATGAAATGGTACCTAGAAACCCAAGGTAATTGAAGTCATAAGGTCAAGAAGAACTTTCCTTGATAGGAATCAGAGACAGAAAGAACAGGACTGGGTTTATGGGTGTGTCACATTCACTCTCACAGGGCCCCATGCTTAGAAGGGCCATACCCTTGGTTTTATGTTCTGCTGACACCATCATGAAATTCTTAATAATTCTTGAACTAGAGATTCTATGTTTTCATGTTTGCACAGTGCCCTGCTGTCATGACCCGTCGGGCTCCTGTGGCCCTGGTCTCGGTTAGCGCAGGAAGGAACCAGGCGAGAAGCGGATTAGAAGTACAAGCTTGTGGAAGGTGGGCTAGCCCTTACTTTCCGGGTAGCCCCGAGCAACCTCCGCACCAGCCTTTTATTGAAAGGGAATGATACAGGTGAGGGGAGAAATTAACAATGACTACTTCCTGAGGGCACAGGCTCCTCCCACAAGGAACTCCTGTGGAGGAATGGCCCAAGGTCCACGCCTCAGCTGCAGATCATCTTGCTGGGATGTTGGCATCTCCTACACCCTGCATATTATGTAACTGAACAGGAGTTCTTTGGAAAGGAGGAAGTAGGGTGGGTACTGAGCAGGTAGGCAGCAGTATGGTTGAGCAGGTTGAGCCAGGAGTATGGCATCCACTAGTCACCCCTTAGTTTCCAACCTACAGTCCTTGCCAGCCAACTTTATCCCTTTTCTTAAAATTTTTTCGAAGGAGTTGAATGATTTTATTTATTTACTCATTTACTTATTTTTGAGACAGCATCTCACTTTGTCACCCTCAGTAGAGTACTGTGGTGTTATAGCTCACAGCAATCTCAAACTCTCGTGTACGAGAAATCCTCTTGCCTCAGCCTTGTGAGTAGCTGGGACTATAAGCGCCCTCCACAATGTCTAGCTATTTTTAGAGACTGGGTCTCGTTTTAGCTCAGGCTAGTCTGGAACTCTGGAGCTCAAGCAATCCATCCACCTTGGCCTCCAAGAGTGCTAGGATTATAGTCATGAGCCACCTTGCCCTGCAGAATTGAATGGTTTTATATGAACTTTTCACTTTGTTGGTAAAATACGTCCTCAGTAAAGCTAGAATACATATTTTAAAAATCTGGACATGTATTAATGGAACATTTCTAAATATGCTTAATAGGCACAGGGGTTTATGTGGCAGCATTCACTTGTTTTTATATTTGTTATTTGCTGTTGAATGCATATGTTTTGTAATACATGTCACAGCAGATTTAGAATATACCAAAAACGGCAGTTCTTTAAAAAGTCATTTATAGCCCTGTCATGTAATTGTGACATTCCACTTAGTGAGATTCCATCTCTAAAAAAAATTAGCTGGATATGGTGGCATGGGCCAGTTCTTTTTTTTTTTTTTTTGAGACAGAGCCTCAAGCTGTCCCCCTGGGCAGAGTGCCGTGGCATCACAGCTCACAGCAACCTCCAACTCCTGGGCTCAAGCGGGTCTCCTGCCTCCGCCTCCCAAGTAGCTGGGACCACAGGCGCCCGCCACAACGCCCGGCTATTTTTTGGTTGCAGCCGTCATTGTTGTTTGGCGGGTCCGGGCTGGGGATTCGAACCCGCCATCTTAGGTGTACGTGGCTGGCGCCTTAGCTGGGTGAGCTATAGGCGCCGAGCCGGGCCAGTTCTTGAAATTCAGAAGACTGAGATTGGAGGATCCTTTGAGCCCAGGAGTTTTAGGCTGCAATGAGCTATTATCAGGCTACTACACTCCAGCCTGGACAGCAAAGCACGACCCCATCTCTTAAAAAAATCTTCAAGGCTGGGTGCAGTGGTACGTGCCTGTAATTCTAGCACTCTGGGAGACCGAGGAAGGAGGATAACTTGAGCTTAGGAGTGTGAGACCAGCCTGAGGAAGAGCAAGATGCTGTCTCTACTTAAAATAGGGCATTATGGTAGGTGCCTATAGTCTTAGCTACTTGGGAGGCTGAGGCAAGAGGATCACTTGAACCCAGGAGTCTGGGGTCACTATGAGCTAGGCTGATGCCATGGCACTCTAGCAACAGAGTGAGACTCTGTCTCTAAAAAAAAAAAAAAAAAAGAAAAATTAAAAAGATTCTATGATCTAGCACTGAAAAGAAAAGCTTTTGTGAACACAGTCATAGAAACAAAACAATAGGGAGTAAATTTCATATTAGTGGAGCAAATACTTGTTTGTGGAGGAAGGACTATAATTTCCTATTTTCATGTGAAGCAACCAAATGTTTCATAGGCTCAAAAAAGGAAGGTACTACTTACCCTCAAGTTGGTTAGTCTTGGTCACTTTTTTTTGGTGGATGTGTGCAAAGAGATTATAACCAAGACTTTGTAGAATGAGTATCAATGGCTTGGAAGAAAACTCCAGAAACAGTAGTGGAGGACTCTTAAGAACTGCTTCATCACTACTGCTTTGGAAGGCATAGATGATATTGTGTAGACATCAATGACTCAGTGTTGAGCTCTGAATACCAAGTTTTAAGAATTCCTGAACAAATTTATTTATTTTACTTATTTTTCTTTCTTTTTTTTTTCTGTATGCATTAATAATACTTGATTTAAAAGAATAAACCCACAGGCCAGGCAAGGTGGCTCATGCCTGTAAATCCTAGCACTCTGGGAGGCCAAGGCAGGTGGATCACTGGAGCTCAGGAATTTGAGACCAGCCTGAGCAAGAGTGAGACCCCATCCTACGAAAAATAGAGAAATTAGCTGGGTGAAGGCCTGTAGTCCCAGCTACTCAGGAGATTTACTTGAGACTAGGAGTTCCAGCCTGGGTGACAGAGCAAGACTCTGTCTGTCTCTATTTAAAAAAAAAAATAGTTGGAGGCTGGGCAAGGTGGCTTAAACCTGGACTCCTAGCACTCTGGAAGGCTGAGGCAGGTGGATTGCATGAGTTTAGGAGTTTGAGACCAGCCTAAGCTAGAGTTAAGGGCCTGTCTCTAAAAATAGTCAAACACTGTGGCAGGTGCCTGTAGTCCCAGCTACTTGGAAGGCTGAGGCAAGAGAATCACTTGAGCCCAAGAGTTTGAAGTTGCTGTGAGCTATGATTCCATGGCACTGTACCAAGGGTGACAAAGTGAAACTGTTTCAAATAAATAACCCCCCCCCAAGAAAAAACCTATGTTTAAGTAAGCCCCAAAGAATTCTTTCAATAAGAATATTTAAATAAAATTAAAGGTTAGGTGTAAAGAAAGCATTTGGTGGCTGGATGCAATGGCTAACACCTGTAATCCTAGCACTCTGGGAAGCCAAGGCAGGAAGATAACTTGAGTTCAGTAGTTTGAGACCAGCCTGAGCAAGAGCAAGACCCTGTCTTTAGTAGAAATAGAAAAATTAACTGGGCGTTGTGGCACCAGCTACTCGGGAGGATGAGGCAGTAGGAGGATTACTTGAACTCAGGAGTTTTAGGTTGCTGTGAGCTGAGCTGAGTTGATGCCATGGCATTCTAGCCTAGACAACTGAGAGGTTAAGGACCAAAAATGAGAGGTTATTCCAAAACATGAATGAAAGGAAGCGGAGTCCAGGTTCTGCGTGGGCATCATGTCCTTTATTCACTCCGGTGCGGGCTGAGTTGGAAAAAGAAGTCAGCACGTGGGTTAAGACGGGGTGGGAATATAGGAGTTAGGAGGGTGAGAATTGGGCGCTCTTTTCTTCCAGGGCTGGATGGTTCTATTTAGGCAGGTCCCTACATTTGGCCCTATCAACAGCAAAGTGAGACTCTGTCTCAAAAACTGCAACAACAAAGGATGGTATCTTGGATTTAAGACACAATAGAAGAACTGATAGGTTGCTTAACTCGTTTTTTCTATTAATACTTGAAACTTGAACCTTCTTTCACTTTTTCAGAACTCTTCTATCATTGTTATTTGTAACAATAATTATTATATAACTTTAACCTGCCTAGTCCTTTATAATTAATAAAATACTTAGTATTTATTGATTAGGTAATAAATGTCCATGGTTCAAAAAAAAATGTTTTTTTTTGAGACAGAGTCTCACTTTGTCACCCTTGGTAGAGTGCAGTGGCATCATAGATCACAGCAACCTCAAACTCTTGGGCTCAAGTGATTCTCTTGCCTCAGCCAACCAAGTAGCTGAGACTACAGGCACCCGCCACAAAACGCCTGGCTATAATTAGAAACAAGGTTGCACACTGGCTCAGACTGGTCTTGAACCTGTGAACTCAGGCAGTCCACCTGCCTTGGCCTCACAGAGTGCATCAACCACTGCGCCTGGCCATGGTTCAAAATTTAAAACATGCAAAGAATATGCAGGAAAATGTTTCCCACCCCAAAGTCTCTCACCTGTGCCCAGCCCTGTCTAATTCCCTTCCTTGGGACTAACCAGTGTTATTAAGTATTCCTCTAGAAATACACACCCACATTCATTCTACCCATCTCTCCTCCCCCTTTCAGTAATACTAATGGTGGCATCCTGTATACCTGTTGTCCTTGATTTTTACTGGGTACTCTTGCATATGTTATGTACACTTAAACATTTATATTAAAAAACCATGAAAAAAATTTATGGTGGGGTGCAGTGGCTCACGCCTGTAATCCTAGCACTCCGAGAGGCTGAAGTGGGAGGATCCCTTGAGCTCAGGATTTTGAGACCAGTCCAAGTAAGAGCAAAACCCTGTTTTTACTAGAAATAGAAAAATTAGCCAGGTGTTCTGGTGAGTGCCTGTAGTCCCAGCTACCAGGAGGTGGGGGCAGGGGGATCACTTGAATGCAGGAATCTGAGATTACTGTGAGCTAGCTTGAGGCTACAGCACTCTAACCTGGGCAACAGAATGAGACTCTGTTTTGAAACAGAAAAAAAAAGAAAGAAAGAAAGAAAGAAAATGGCCATATAATTGTGCTGACAAGTTAGCAGGCAAGTGTAATTTTTAATTACAACTTAACCAGTAATTATAATGAACTCCAAAGAGGTAAAAAAGTGATTTTCCCTGTGATGGAGTTGGAGTTGAGAACTGAGTCTTCTAGTCCTATTAGGTGAGCACAGGTATGCAGTGTTTGAGTGCTAATTTCTTTGAAATGTCAGCTAGCATTTCAGACTCCTGGGCTCTGGTTGGTGTCTATCAAGAGGGACACACTTGTGGCCATTTAGAAATTGTTAAGTCTTTTTTTTTTTTTTGCAGTTTTTGGCCGGGGCAGTGTTTGTACCTGCCACCTCCAGCATATGGGGCCGGCGCCCTACAGGTGAGCCACAGGTGCCGCCCAAGAAATCATTAAGTCTTTTAAGGGATGTTTTCATCACATCCCTAAGGGACATGGATTCTAGGTTCTGGTGACCACTAGTGCAAAAACATGGAGGTGTTGGAAAACCTTGTGAGCTGGAGGGGAATTGGCCTGTACTGCCAGGTTTTTCTGGCCTTGACTATTCATATGGTCTCTCCAGGATTTGTCTTAACAGTCCCATTTAAAGAACTTATTCATTCATACAGTAACACAGTGGAAATAAACAGTTACCCTGCAGAATGATAGTGGTACTGAGGGCCACAGAGTGCAGAGGTAAGCAAGAAGAAACTATTCTTCAGAGGTTTCTGTAGCTCTGTTACATTTCTGAGTATGTCCTCTGGCCCCCTTACACAACCTCAGTTGTTCCCAACTCCACTTCTACTGTGACTATTTGTGATTCTGCTTACTGAGTGCTTACCACATACAATCCATTTTACTTGTGAGGAAACAGATAAACTAGATGCTAATTGAGAACTGGCCTGTGGTTTCCTAGTAGATATTTAAAAACAACTCTCAGGGAGAAAACATGCCACTGATCTGTAGCATTTACTGGCTTCTATGGTGTTTATACTCCCATCATGGCTGATTAAATTTGGGATGTGGTATAAGTACAGGATGACCAGGAATGATCAGCATACCCTGAGACATACGGTGAGATCAGGAGGATCTGTGGATGGGACAGTGACAGGCTTAGTTTAGGTGAGGAGGAATGCCATAAGCCAGGTGAGAACTTTGTACATGTACACATGTACAAACGGGTTTGCCATCTTCTGAAGAGTTTCACTGCCACATGATGTACCAGGAATGTGAGGTTACTGTGAACTAGGCAGAGAGCACTGCACTCTAGCCTGGGGTCTCCTTCCTTCCTGTTAGCACCTCCATGGAAACCTTAGAGGTTAGAATGCTTACTAAGACCAGGAACCTTGGGAGAAGAGGAAATACTATATAGGAAACATTCTTATACATGCAAACTAAAGTCTTCAGAGTCACTGCTCAAAATCTTGGGTCTTGAGGGTTATGCTGGACTTGGATCACTTTTGAAGAACATGGGTAGAGTTGGTATCCCTTAAAGGGACTTTTGTGGCATAATTCCTGCAGCATTAGACTTCACCTTGTGTGCTCTTAGTCTTCATATACGACTTGCCATACACACCCAGTGGTGGGTAGTGGGATTGGGATGTGGGTAGAAGTGGTAGAGTACAAAGATTGAAATACTGGGGTTCTATCCTTAATTGAGCATTTAATTGTGCTAATTGCTTTTATTCAGTAATTCATTAGCCCAGAGCTAAAACCTCTCAGAATACTCTCCTGAGGCTCTTTTTCTCCCATATCCTGAGTACCTGGGATACTCAGGTGGAGGATGGGCTTCGGGGTGGAGCAGATCTACTTGGCTCCAACCTGCTCCTGAGGCATAAGAGTCTCCTCCCATCAGGATAATCCATTCAGCTGTCACACTGAGTGTGTAGAGGCAGCATCCCAGGTGTACACCAGGTCTAACCCCCATCTTGTGTTCTAGGAATTAACCGACTTGCAAAGGGATCCTCCTGCCCAGTGTTCTGCGGGACCTGTGGGTAATGATTGTAAGTATTTGTGGGGGTCTCCAGATTTGCAGGAGTGTTGCAGTTAAGAACCCCAAATTTGGCTCGGTGTCTGTGGCTCAAGTGACTGAGGCGCCAGCCACGTACACCTAAGGTGGCG